GCCCTGCCCCCCAGTCCTGGCACCCAGCCCCCTCCCCGCAGCCGGACACCCACCGTCTGTGCACCATGATCTCCAGGTCGCCCTGGGGGGTGGGCCGCAGCTCCTTGACGTACATCCTCAGGGGGGCGTCCTGGGTGCTCAGCAGGGCGAGGTCGCTGGCTGCCATGGCCATGGAGTACCAGGTCCCGGCCACCTGGGGAGGGGCCGTGAGCTGCACTGGGGGGCGGGGGGAACCCCAGCTCCCGGGTGGGCTCTCTGTCCCTCCCGTCTGGGCCAGTGGCGTCCTACCCACTCCCGACTCCCCCAGGCCGGCCTAGGGAGGGGGCTGGGTCCTCACTGACCCCCCGGGCCGCTGTGGGACCCTCCTCTGCTGAGCTGAGGAATGTTCTAGCTAAACTCATCTCAGCCCAGAGAAGGACCCCGAGAGCCGCCTCCGTGAGTGAGGGGGAGGCAGAGGGGCCAGGGAGGGCCTAGACTGTGTCCCCCAAATTCATATGTTGCAGTCCTGAGCCCAGCACCTCAGACCACGACTGTTAGGAGGTGAGACCTTTGCCCAGCAGCGTGGCTCAGTGGTTGAGCGTCCCGGGTTCGATTCCCCGTCAGGGCGAGTTGGGGGTTCGATCCCCAGTGGGGGGCATGCAGGAGGTAAGGCTCCCGCCCGGCCCTGCCTCCTCCCCGTGGGAGGCTATGGAGTTTGTGAGGAACAGCGAGGCCCCTCCCGCCGGCCCTCCTGCAGCTCCTCCCTCCGTGGGGGCTCCCGCCCGGCCCTGCCTCCTCCCCGGGGGAGGCTATGGAGTTTGTGAGGAACAGCAAGGCCCCTCCCGCCGGCCCTCCTGCAGCTCCTCCCTCCCAGTGAGCCTCATCATTGATATTTCTCTCTCCCCCTCCCTTCCCCTCTCTCTCTCTCTCTCTCTCTCTCTAAAAATAATAATAATAAGCAATAAAAATAAAAACGATTAATCAAATAAAAAAGGAAACGGGTCCTGGAAGAGGTTAAAGGGAGGGTGGGCCCGGTCCCGCCTGACGGGTCCCGTGTAAGCGGAGGAGATGGGGACACGGGCACAGAGCGCAGGCCGTGTGGGGACGCAGGGGGCAGCCGCCCACCCCGGCCTCGGACCAGCCTCAGGACCTGAGACCCTAAGTGGCTGTTGTTTAAGCCGCTGACCGTCCGTGGGGCTTTGTTAGGCGGCCCCAGCGGAGTCCTGCAGGCCCCGGACACCCCGGCTTCCCCGTCTTCTGAGGCCCCCGCCGCCCCTGTCGCCCTGCACTCGGCCCTGCCCAGCCTCCCCACGCACAGCACCCCGTCCCCAGACCTTCTGGACGTCCAGGTCCTCCCCGGTCTGGGGCACAAAGATGTCCTGGGTGCCGCACACCAGGGCCACGCTGAGAGCGAGCAGGAGGCACTTCATGGCTGCAGCTGCGGGACTTCCAGCTCCGAGCGCTGAGGCCGAGCGGCGGGGGGGG